TATAAACTTTCCCCCAAGCTCAAGGTCCTTTGGATCCAAGTTTTGCTCACGGTGGTCTCCTTGCCTGGAGCACCTCAAGTGCCTCTCCTTGGAGCGTAGCAGTCACTCTAGCCTAGCACTCTATCAGCTTTTGGAAGATTAGCATCATTCCCCGTTGTCGCACTGACAATGCTGTCTCACTGGCAAATCAGTATCAGATAATCTAGAGAGAGCTTTCCGCCTCATATGTGGTTCAAACTCTGTTGAAGCACGTCCAGTGTGCATGCTTGTTCAGCCCTCAGGAATAGGATGTGGCTGTCCCTCAGGGGTTATGCCAGCATGTACCATTTAAAAAAGACCTCATCCTTCCCCAACCCTCAGCACACCCCAAATCTGGCAGCTTCCCCGAAGGCCACAGATGACTGTCCATTTGTGAACATTTGTTTTATGTCCAGCACATGCACACTGTGGTCCAGACGCTACCACGAGGCGCTGAGTCTGCTCCACACCGACTGGTTGATTTTTAAAGGGAGGGATTGTCCAGAGGAAAATATTGAAGATTGGTGTTAGATTAAAAACCATGAACGTTTTTAAGCCAATATTTCTTTCCACCTCCATTTGCGAAATATGGAAGCTGGATCATAGGTTAGTTCTGTGCTTTTAACAACAAAACACATAATTTGTCTATATCTGTTTGTCAGTCCTGTGGTTTTAGACTGTAAGATTTGGGGACAGGGACCATTGCCTATCCTGTTCCCAAGGGACCCACAGCAACCTTGGTTGGACCTTTGGGTGCTACCAGAATACAAAAAACAGACTGCTCTGTTTCTAACGACTTTCACTTTCTGGTTCTAAACAAAGGGCAGGGTTTATCCTGGGCAGCGTCCCCAAGAAATATCCCCTTGACTCATTTTTTTCTTTAGCTATGTATTAACACAGCAGGTCACTTTACGCTTATTACAGGAAAGCAAGTTGCAGTCAGAAGTTCTTTGTCCCAGTTTCATATACACACGATTGTTATTTGTTGCAAAAGATTGTTGAGGTCGATAGAAAAAAACGTTTGCTAGCTGTCAGTGGTTCTCTCCCATAAATGGGGCCCCTCTCTCTTGGCAGAAGATGAGGGGAAAGGCTAGAGAAGAGCAACTGGATGGCAAGCCTGCCACAGCTTAGCACTCCCAGCACAACCAGAGATTCTAAGGGCTGAGCTGGAAAACTTACCTCTGAAGGACATTTAGACCCAGGCCTGGGAATAAAGAAGAAAACCATTAAGATTTTTGCAGGGTTCCTGCATCAGACAGGGAGGGCTAAAACGCCATTTCCCGTGCTGAAGTACTTCTTGTAAATGTAGACAGTGGTGCATCACACTGCACAACTGAGACAGCCAGTTTCTCCCTCCCACTCCCTTGCATCTGTGATCACTGTGGATTCTGCAGCAAAGCAGCCAACTGGAAGAATCTGCAGAGGTTTTGAGAGAAGTGGCACGAAAAGCTCACTTCCCTTACCCCCCCCACACCCTCCCCCCCCCCGGCCCTGCTCCAAGCCTTTCAGGTTTGCGGGAGAACAGGCTGGTACTGGATGCATAAGCACCATTTAGATTCTTCATGGGAAACAGCACTGCCAAGAGGCCTCTCATTTTGGAGAGCATTTAATAATCCCTTCTTGAAGTGGACAAATAGCCTCTCCTCTCCACGGCTGCTTTCACCCCCTACCTCTTTAAACCAGCTCTCATGGAAACGACTGATTTATGGACATGTACATTTGCTGCAGGGCTGGACAGTGCCTGGAGAACATGCTGCTAGAGGGGACGGTAAAGGGGAACCCGATCACTCATTTATTTCCAAGGCATCCCCAAAGCCTGTGTGTAGCCTCTGGTTATGCCACACCACACAAGTGTCAGCAGCAGCAGTGAGGGTGACAATTTATAAACTGCAGATGTACCAGAATATTTAAGGGGTACACTTCTGCGAGTGGGGCACCAGGAACAGCATCCATGACCTTCAACTGCAAAAACAACACAGGCGGCTGCCACTTAAACAAATCTCCCTCAACCATTTCCAAACCCTTCTCCCACTAGAGGTGGAGAGAATTACAAACCAGTAGACAGGACTGATCTGCTGCAAATTCCACTCCTTAAACATGCAAACCAAAACACCCTGGGCTATGCCAGCAGCCAGGTCAGCTATGACCATGCAGACCTGGCTCTGATCTCTCCTTGCCCAACCTCATCAGCCCCAAGAGGGGGCAAGGAGTGTGCATTGTGTGCACTTAATTTTGGTTAGCACTTCATGCTAGGACTTATAGAGAAGAAACATTAGTCATATCTACGAGACAGAGACTAGTGCATGGGTAAATGAAATGCCATAATAGCCCAAAAATAACACAGCTCACAAAAGTGTCACTCATTACACCACGAGTGTCAGCTTTAAGGATTATGATTCAGGGTGCTACGGTCTCCTGCAGGTCGAGATTTTTAGGTCATGACTCCATGCAGAGAAGCATAGACTCTGTGCCTGTGCTTAGAATATTCCGAATCCTGGCTGGCTTTAGATTCATGTCAATTGCATGAGGATTGTTCTGTGTAATACCTATAGCGGGCCAAAATCCAAGGTGACTCAAAGGGTGCGCTTGGTTAAGGAGTCTAACTCGCACTAAGGACGGCATCCAGTAGGTGATCAAAGCAACCGTTACATCTACCAAAAGGGAAAAAGTACCAGCGGGATGTCAGATAAAGCAACCTCTGCTGACTTATCTTACACTCCCCTAACAGTTTGTCTGCCGCATTTCTCCTTCCCCTCTGTTACATTCCCATACTAGTGCACGTCGCACAGTGACAGGAGGCATAAATGGTTACGTGTAACTCACATCACCGGATTCTTCACCTCCAAATTTGGTCCAGAGACTCCAGTTTGAGTTGAACCTGCTTACACCAGTACTGAATTGGGCCCACCTTGTCCTCTATAAACCACCTCTCTTTTCTCTAGCATCTGAGGCAGGGCCGTCTTGCCCTCCCTGCTGGGAGGCAGGAAGGAACAGCTTTCAGCAGGTATATTCTTCTAGAAAGCCAAACTCCTAGGCACATGGAAGCTGCTCTGCTCTCTGTATCCCCTGGATCTCACATGCTTTGAGTAGATGGGCATATTTTCCCCCTCCTGGTGGAATCCTCCCTTCTTCACGACTCTTTATAAAGGTATCTTATTTCATACGGCAGTGGCTGATGACAGAACCAGGGTCTGGTCCTACAGATTCTGCAGTGCAGCCCATTCTTTGGAACTCTGCATCATCAGCTCCGGCCCAGTCTAGGAAAGTCACTCATCCCATAATAGTCTGTCCCCTATTAAAAACCATCAGCGTTTATGTTAGTCACACACATGATTACTAGTATACAGTACTTTCTCTCTATGAATTACGCAGTGCCACTGATGAGGAACCACACAAATGTATCAGTGCATTAATATTTTTGAAAAGACCAGGCTTAATTCTTGGTAACTGTATGATAGTCCATGGGGACATTCAAGACACGCACTATGAGCCAGTGCAATCCAGAATTATTGTTTGCCATCATTTAATGTTTTACGTACTTTAGCTTTTGATTTTTCACAGCACACAAACCTGATCAGGGTCTTTACAACCTATCGAGGACTCAGCCAGAGATGCAGAGCAGACACGAGGACAAATTCAACCCTGATATAAATTAACATCTGCAAATTTGACCCGCTGTGCCTGAAGCAGAAGTGTCAAACTCAGGACACCTTGGTTCAAGCCCAGCCTCTGCCACTGACTGGCTGCATGACCTTGGGAATTCAGCCTCTGATTCTCAGTTTACTCCTCTATAAAATGGGGCTAATACTTACCTTTTCCACAGATCTGGGGTTTACTTGATTGGCATTTGTAAACCATCATGCAATCTTCAGATGAAAGACGGCAGTACAATTGCCAGGTATTACTATGACAGATCAAAGACAAGTAAAGACACTCCCCTACTTTCGAAGAAGTTATGGACAAGAAAAGTCACTCAGCCGTCAGTGGAGACTCTTTGCAGAAACGTTCTCATTGGTGCCGAATGACATCACCAAAAATGCAGACAAAAACGTGGCCATGGCAGGCCCCGGCTAAATGTCACCAAGTGCTTTTTCCTACAGCAGCAAGGAACTAACTTGGTGTTTTCTAAAAACCGCTTTCAGAGTAGCTTTTCTCCCCCAGTAGACAGGGAGAGTATGTGAAATATTTATCCCGAGAGATTTCAACCCAGCTGACTTTGCTGTTATTACATTTCACTAGAATTAACAACTGCTCAGAGTTCAATTCCTAACCCCCCCCCCCCCCCCCGGCTCCATCCATTCACATTCCTATCAATCTCACAGAACTGGCAACTGACAAAATCTGCGTTAATTTTTAATTGAGAGTTTGTAGCTGTATTTTTGCACTGTGGGGAAGAAACCCCATACTAGTTAAGAGAAAGAATCACGTCCCTAATGCCAGTTATTGTGGTTTATCTTTGAAAATCGACAATAAAGCATCATTCAAACCTCATTCCATTAGCAGATTTTGTCCAGAGTCACATCCCCCCAGAAGAAGATCCAGGTCTTGCACTGACTGTACCAGCATGTTCCCAAGATAAATTCTACTTTTGCCTCCCGTGTCAAGGCACTGATGCTCAGAGGTCATGCGGCTCTGTATCTCCTGATTTCATAAAGCAAACACGAGACACTTGTTTAAAAAAAACCCAACTCAGTTAGTTAAACAGGACTGAATGCACCAGGCCAGGATCTTGCTGAAGGCAGGAGCTGCGGTCCAAACTTGAATAGGTCACAGCAGGACCTCCATCCCCTCCCTTGACATATTTTTAAAACAATAATAAATAATAATAAAAAGAGTCGGGAAACTTGAGGCTGATCGTGCAAAGGCCTGATGGCTGCGCTTCCCTTTGCTGGCTGGCAGCCGTGGAGAGCTCAGAGCATCAAGGAAGGGGGAAATCCCCTGGCTGAGGCTGCTGCTGCTCCTCTGCAGATCACTTGAAGGAGAAAAGCTTTCGCATTACGGCACTCTTAAAGCGGCAGTGTCCAATTTCTCCTTCAATCTCCTGAATCTCAACCTGCAAGCGCCCGCACACAGGTAGGGGTAACAACGGGGGCGACTGGGGGAGGACATGGGGTAGAGAGGGACCCAGGAAGACACCCTCCCCGCCCCTGCCCGAGTGGGAAGGCGATGCATTTTGATGCACTCCTTCCCGCAGCCGAGGCTCTGTCTGCAGTTTGCCGGGGAGCTGGGATTGCAGCAGGACTGCATCAAACTGGGGACATAAAAATCAATCCATCCCCTCGGCCCAGAAAAATCAAACAGCGAAGATATTGCAACCTGGAAGCCCCAGACAAGCGGCCAAACAGTCTCTAGCAATGCTACAGAGACTTTAACATCCCAAATAATCCATTTCTGGACGATACTGACCGACCCGTCCCTGCACTGATCACCAGCCAGAGTTCAAGGCAAGAAAGAACTGAACCGGGGGCAGCTCATTAGCAAGCGCCCCTAGAAAGTTTAAGGGGGGGGGGGAATCCCAGATCTTATGAATTTCGACAATTTGCATGAAATACCCCGACCCTTAGGAAGGAAATATGAACACTCCTTTAACAATGATCATTGCTAACGGGTGTGAAGGCAAAGCAACAACAAGCCACTGACTCCAGCCAAGTTCTGAATCCCCCCGGAAAGTTACCTCTCCTCTTCCCGCAGATCCGCTTTGCGCAGCTCTCTTCCTCGCAGATGGGTCCTGGCTGAAGCTGCAAGAGTCGCTGGCAGGCTGCTGCGGCTCCCAGTGGGGAGGCAGGACCTCCAATGAGGAGTGTCAGGTGGGTGCTTGCACTGAAATGAGGCCGGGAGAGGCCCGAGCTGCTCTTCTGACAAGCAAGCCAGCCGTGGGGGGGGGGGGGATTGAAATCCCTGACATTGCAAGAACGCTGATCCTATAGGAAGGCACCGCCCCCCCCCGTTTTCTGGCCAGGTAAAGGCTCCATTTGATTGCCTGCTGGATGGGCTCACGTGGAGAGGCACCTCTGGCAAAACCAAAACCAATCATGCCTGCGCAGAGACTGTGGGGCCCCTTTCCCCTCCCTCTTGGGTCCACGTTTTGGGGGCAGGTTGGAACTTGTTCGAAAGTTACTCCTAGCGCTGGTGCTCAGGCCAGCAGGGGCTGGGGGGGGAAGGGAAGGGCTTGACATGGATAATGGAACACATAAAGAAGAGAGTAGAGGATATAAAGAAGAAGGGAGAATCTCATCCAAGTTTAGGAACGCTGCTAATCCCCATCTTCTCCCAGCCGATTTAGAAGGGCGCCAGGAATCCAATGAGAGGTTCTATCTGAGAAGAAAAGCCCTCCGCTCATCTGATTGCCCTAAGTTTTAGTCCTGACGTGCAGGACAACACCAAGCAAGGTTCCAGAGCTTGAGCTGGTGTAAATCAACATCACTCTGTTGACGTCAGCGCTGGTGCTTTACAGCCTCTGAGGGTCTGGCTGGATTCAGCCCACACCAGCCCTGGTGTAGCGCGTGATTTCTCTGAGCCGCAGAGCCATTTTGTGCAAGGCTCTTTTTCCTCTTTTGGGTCTCAGCCGTGGACAGGGAGAGCGGTGCAGGAGGCGCTCATTTCCAAGAAAGGGAAGATCCACTTCGCCTCTTTGAATTGCTAAGATGATTTATCTGCCCCCTTGCTGGCTGGGGGTCCATGGTCCCTCCACAGCACTGGGAGATGGTGGGTTAGCTTTAGCTCAGGGCACTCCAGGGCGTGGTGTGTATATATATGTATTAAACGGTGTGGCGTAAAATTCCTATCAGCTGGGTGAAAGCCCTATGCCAAGCCGTCCTTGATCAGACAAGCCCAAATCTTGTGCTCACCTCTAGTCAAAAGGCTTCTATTGTGGATCCTTCCATTCCATCTTGGATTCATCCAGCTCCTCAAAGGTATGTAGGCTCCTTCCATTGAAGTTTGGAGGCTACATCCCTTAGAGGGCCTGGGCTGGCGTCCGAGTCTCAGTCTGGTTCCGTGCACTTACAGACGCTGCCATGTGGCGCTGAGCTATTGCAGAATGTGCTGGGACCTCTTAGATTTAGCAGGAACAGGACTTCACGTGACTGAGCTCAGGTGACGGGAGCCCTAACAGGAAGGACACAGCACATTCTAAGACCCTCCAGCTCCGCCCCCCTCGGAACAGTAAATGCCTCTGTTAGAATGTATGATTTGTAATGCAGCTGCCCAAAGAGGCCCCAGTCAGGTGGAGTCCCATTGCACGAAGTGCTTCACAAATGTATAGGGCCCAAATTCACTCCTATCTGTACCCTGTGGAGTAATTTACAGAAGGGGCAAACCTGGGTGTGACGTGCAACCCGCTCAGACTGATTCCATTTTACACCCGCTCTGCGATGGTGCAAAACAGCTACCTAGGTGCAGGGCAGTGGCAAACGGGACCTACAGTTGGGGACAGGCTCTACTCTGACATGCTTCCAGGCCGAAAGCCTGAGCCTGCAACTGGAGTTGCACAGGTGGACCCCTACGGCTGCAATGGAACCCCACTGAACTTAATGCAGAGTGCTGGCCGTGTGGTGCCAGGTGCAGGAATGGGGTCTTAATTAAGGCAAGCTGCAATATGTTGGTGTAGCAAAGAAGCAGAGAGAGTGGGGGAGGGCGGGCCAGGGGGATAGGTTTGAGGCAAGACATTAACAAATTAAATACTTTTCATCCATAGGTACCAAAGCCCTTTATGAAGGTGGATGGTATCTTGATGTACAGAAGATGCAGAGACACAGAGAGGGGGCAAGGCCAAGAGGACAGCCATCAGGAGTGCCTCCAGTTGTGGGTACCCAACTTGAAATACTTTAGGCCAAGTTTTTGGACGTGTCGAGCACCTGCAGCTCCCAAATCAGAGGCGACTTTTGAAAATCCCTCCCCTGACTCTCATCATAATTGCACCCCCCCTTTGGTAATTGGTTTTAAGTCTAAATGGTTTAATTTTTCCACCCTCCGATGCCATCTTGTTCATTTTTCATTCTGCAAAGCTTGGGGGAGGGGGTGTATAGTTTGTTATGAAAAAGCCAATGCACAAGGCAGCTATAATGCTGGGTATTAAATGGCCAGTAGCTGAAGATGCATGGGCCAGCGGTGTACCACACTGAACTACACCCCAAACAGGTCTCCAGAATCATGGCTTCTATGCAATCCTGCTTTCCCAGAGGCTCAGTGGAAGCGACAACAGACACGGTGCGTCTCCAAATCTCTGGGATCATTTATAGGGTGGATGCAATGCACCAAAGTAGAGGGGTTGAGAAAGTTAATCGGTAAAGCCTCCAAGCTTGCCCAAGTATCTAGTGCTAAACTCAGCCTGGTGTAGCTGGGCCAGCATAAGGGAGTGTCCATGTGCCTTTATCTGATCCTTATTTCATCAGTAGATCTGTATTTTTTTCCAGTGGAACTGAGTGTTTGAGAAAAGTGTTAGCTTGGCACCTTGGGAGTCTGCAGCTCTCCATGCACAGCAAGGGCATTAGCAGTGCAGGCTTCTCCTGGGCTGTGCCATCCGTGTGCCTGAGTCCATGACAGGGATTGTCCTCCAGGGGCCAGAGGGGATTTCATTCTCCATGGCTCACCAGGTCCCAGTCCTACAAGGTACTGACTGCCCGCAACATCACTGGGAGTCTAGGGCAGTCAGCACCTCCGAGAAGGTGCTCAGCACTTTGTAGGATCACACCCTTGATCCTTGACCTCCCTGCTGCACTTTCAAATGAAGGTGCCAATGAGTGGTAAATATATTGGTGAGTTTGTGATGTGTGCTCGTGTCCATGGGGAACTGGGCTGACACCCAAAAGCTCATGTAACATACTTAGAAAGAGACACAAGCTGGTCCAGTGGCTAAGGCACTAGGCTGGGACTCAGGAGACCTAGGTTCTGCTCTGCTGCTGACCAGGCATGTGACCTTGGGCACGTCACTTCTCCTACTCCTACCACCGTTTGTTTGTCTTGTCTATTTAGATGGTAAGCTCTTTGGAGTAAGGACTGTCTCTTATTGTGTGTGCATGTACAGCACCAAGCCCCCTGGGGCTCTGATCTCAAGGTGGGTCCTCTAGATGTTATTGTAAGATAAACAATAAAATAGTAATAGCAATATCATCTTCCTTGAGGATCTCAAAGCACCTACAAACAACACTCCAACAAACAAACAAACTTCACAACACCACCCTGTGCAGTAGGTAAGGGATATATAGAGCTTGTCACTTCACCCACCACTGAATAACCAAACTCTTCTGGTTCACAGAATAAGATGGAGAATAATAACAAAGCGTCACATCACTGCCACTGTGATATAGCTCAGCCACCTTGCTTCTGTGCAGTACATTGAGGCGTGCATTTAACAGCCTGGACTGTGATCCAAAATCCTGTACTAAGGCGCTGCTGCAGTGCAGCTCAGTAAAAATAACACAGCTGTGCAGTTTGGCCCAGTTAACATGGGTGTGAGGACTGTCGCTTCATTATTTTCTGACCTTGGTGCATTTTTAAATTCTCATCCTTAATGATGCATTAACATCAGGTTTCTTTGCATTAAATTATCACGTGTTCAGAAGAGGCCGTTGAGTTTCCTCGGCAGTATTCATGCAGTTCAGCTTTTTCCAAGTGCAGCACTGCACATCAGATCTGCATTGTGGAATTCAGTGCAATGCAGCTCCCTGCAGCACCACGCCATCACAATGGGGACATCACTGACCTGCTGGCTTTGTGCTTTGTCCTCAAGGTGTTTCCCAGATATAATGCCGTTGTCTGTAACAAAATAATTAGCAAAACTTCTCAGACAGTACAAATAAAGCTACTGTGATTGTTAAACCTGAATTAGTCAATCAGAAATCAATACGAAAGTAGAAGCTGGTATTCAAAGATGCACTATCCACATGGAATAATAAAAATATTGATTTAAATGGACACTGAGCTTTTTTAAAATCTCTCTGTATAGAATCTATGTAAATCCTTATTTGGGGTTTTCTCCCCATAATAAGTATGTCAATGTAGTTGTTTACAAGGAAGGAAGGAAGGAAGGAAGACCTCAATGCCAGCAAATTAGCCGTTAAGAAAAACTCTGCATCAACATTCTTTGGAAGGAAATATCCCAATCCTTCCCCCACCGATGTCAATGACAAAATTCCCATTGACTTAAATGGGAACAGGGTTGGGCCCAAAATTTCAAGACAGATATTTTTGCATGTATACACATAGAATCATAGAATATCAGGGTTGGAAGGGACCTCAGGAGGTCATCTAGTCCAACCCCCTGCTCAAAGCAGGACCAATCCCCAACTAAATCATCCCAGCCAGGGCTTTGTCAAGCCTGACCTTAAAAACTTCTAAGGAAGGAGATTCCACAACCTCCCAAGGTAACGCATTCCAGTGTTCCACCACCCTCCTAGTGAAAAAGTAATATCCAACGCAAACCTCCCCCACTGCAACTTAAGACCATTACTCTTCATTCTGTCATCTGCTACCACTGAGAACAGTCTAGATCCATCCTCTTTGGAACCCCCTTTCAGGTAGTTGAAAGCAGCTATCAAATCCCCCCTCATTCTTCTCTTCCGCAGACTAAACAATCCCAGTTCCCTCAGCCTCTCCTCATAGGTCATGTGTTCCAGACCCCTAATCATTTTTGTTGCCCTTCGCTGGACTCTCTCCAATTTATCCACATCCTTCTTGTAGTGTGGGGCCCAAAACTGGACACAGTACTCCAGATGAGGCCTCATCAATGTCAAATAGAGGGGAACAATCACGTCCCTCGACCTGCTGGCAATGCCCCTTCGTATACATCCCAAAATGCCATTGGTCTTCTTGGCAACAAGGGCACACTGTTGACTCATATGCAGCTTCTCGTCCACTGTAACCCCTAGGTCCTTTTCTGCAGAACTGCTGCCTAGCCATTCGGTCCCTAGTCTGTAGCGGTGCATGGGATTCTTCCATCCTAAGTGCAGGACTCTGCACTTGTCCTTGTTGAACCTCATCAGATTTCTTTTGGCCCAATCCTCTAATTTGTCTAGGTCTCTCTGTATCCTATCCCTACCCTCCAGCGTATCTACCTCTCCTCCCAGTTTAGTGTCATCTGCAAACTTGCTGAGAGTGCAATCCACACCATCCTCCAGATCATTTATGAAGATATTGAACAAAACCAGCCCGAGGACTGACCCTTGGGGCACTCCACTTGATACCGGCTGCCAACTAGACATGGAGCCATTGATCACTACCCGACAATCTAGCCAACTTTCTACCCACCTTATAGTCCATTCATCGAGCCCATACTTCTTTAACTTGCTGGCAAGAATACTGTGGGAGACCGTGTCAAAAGCTTTACTAAAGTCAAGGAACAACACGTCCACTGCTTTCCCCTCATCCACAGAGCCAGTAATCTCATCCTAGAAGGCAATTAGATTAGTCAGGCATGTCTTGCCCTTGGTGAATCCATGCTGACTGTTCCTGATCACTTTCCTCTCCTCTAAGTGCTTCAGAATTGATTCCTTGAGGACCTGCTCCATGATTTTTCCAGGAACTTTGGTGAGGCTGACTGGCCTGTAGTTCCCAGGATCCTCCTTCTTCCCTTTTTTAAAGATGGGCACTACATTAGCCTTTTTCTAATCGTCCGGGACTTCCCCAGATCGCCATGAGTTTTCAAAGATAATGGCCAATGGCTCCGCAATCACATCCGCCAACTCCTTTAGCACTCTCGGATGCAGTGCATCTGGCCCCATGGACTTGTGCTCGTCCAGCTTTTCTAAATAGTCCCAAACCACTTCTTTCTCCACAGAGGGCTGGTCACCTCCTTCTTATGCTGTGCTGCTCAGTGCAGTAGTCTGGCAGCTGACCTTGTTTGTGAAGACAGAGGCAAAAAAAGCATTGAGTACATTAGCTTTTTCCACATCCTCTGTCACTAGGTTGCCTCCCTCATTCAGTAAGGAGCCCACACTTTCCTTGACTTCCTTCTTGTTGCTAACATACCTGAAGAAACCCTTCTTGTTACTCTTAACATCTCTTGCCAGCTGCAACTCCAGGTGTGATTTGGCCTTCTGATTTCACTCCTGCATCCCCGAGCAATATTTTTATACTTTTCCCTGGTCATTTGTCCAATCTTCCACTTCTTGTAAGCTTCTTTTTTGTGTTTAAGTTCAGCAAGGATTTCACTGTTAAGCCAAGCTGGTCGCCAGCCATATTTACTATTCTTTCTACACATCGGGATGGTTTATCCCTGTAACCTCAATAAGGATTCTTTAAAATACAGCCAGCTCTCCTGGACGCCTTTCCCCCTCATGTTATTCTCCCAGGGGATCCTGCCCATCAGTTCCCTGAGGGAGTCAAAATCTGCTTTTCTGAAGTCCAGGGTCTGTATTCTGCTGCTTTCCTTTCTTCCCTGTGTCAGGATCCTGAGCTCGACCATCCCATGGTCACTGCCTCCCAGGTTCCCATCCACTTTTGCTTCCCCTACTAATTCTTCCCAGTTTGTGAGCAGCAGGTCAAGAAGAGCTCTGCCCCTAGTTGGTTCCTCCAGCACTTGCACCAGGAAATTGTCCCCTACACTTTCCAAAAACTTCCTGGATTGTCTGTGCACTGCTATATTGCTCTCCCAGCAAGTATCACACACACACTCATGCACGTACAGGTGTCAATGCCTTTTCTCACTTTGAGGTGCCATTGTAAATAAAAAACGGGGAGAATTATCTCCTGTAAATGTAAACAAACTTTTTCCTCATAGCGATTGGCTGAACAAGAAGTAGGACTGAGTGGACTTGTAGGCTCTAAAGTTTTACATTGTTTGGTTACTAAGTACAGTTATGTAACAAAAAAAAAATCCACATTTCTAAGTTGCACTTTCACAATAAGAGATTGCACTACAGTACTTGTGTGAGGTGAATTGAAAAATACTATTTCTTTTGTTTGTCATTTTTACAGTGCAAATATTTGTAATCAAAAGTAATATAAAGTGAGCACTGTACACTTTGTATTCTGCATTGTAATTGAAATCAATATATTTGAAAATGTAGAAAAACATCCAAAAATAGTTAATAAATGTCAATTGGTATTCTATTAACAGTGCGATTAAAACTGTGATTAATCGTGATTACTTTTTTTGAGTTAATCGTGTGAGTAAACTGTGATTAATCGACAGCCCTGATTATTATTTGTATTGTCATAGAGCCTTGGAGCCTGAATCATGGTCCAGGACCTGACTGTGCTAGGTGCTGTACAAACCCAGAACAAGAAGATGGTCCCTGCCCCAAGGAGCTTACGCTCTAAGACAAGAGCTAGATCAGGGACGAAAAGGAAACCATGGGATATGGGTCAGCCTGACAGGCAGTAATCTCAGCACATCAGTAATCGAACAGTTGTCAAGTTTTTTGTAGGCAACATGGCAAAGGAGAGTTTGGAGGAGGGATTTGACGGTGGCTAACAAGGTAGCTTTGGGGAGGCTAACTGGGAGCTGTTCCCAAGCATGTGGGCAGCGTGGGAGAAAGCACCCAGGGCTTTGTTTCGAAACTTGACAGGTCCTGTGGGCTCTACAGCTGCTGGGAACTTTTGGAAATCTGTCCAGCTTCATTTAAGTGCTCAGATGGGAGCTAAACTCTTTGGGAAAAAAAAACATCTGGCCCCTCTGAGACTGGAGCTGCCTCGCTTGGGGGCGGGACCCACCCTTGCAGCTGAATCCCTAAGAATCCACGTATCCAGTCTTTCTGCCCCCTCCCGCCTCTCAATAGCGGGAGCCAGTGCAGCGTGAACCATAGACTTTACTCGCAAGAGGAGGAGCGGAGCCCCGTGCGCCGGTGCGGGAGGCGGAGCCCTCAGCTGCAGCCGGCCCGGCCCAGGGAGGGTTTTCCCGTGGCTTGGCCCTCCGCGTGAGTACGGCGGGGAGGGGGCTCCTTGCCCGGCTGCTGCGTGGGGTGAGCCGCTGCGAAACGTGTGGTGGGAGCAGAGCCTGCTGCAGCGCCGTGCACTCTGCCCAGCGGGCAAACTGCTGGGGGGATCCAGGGGGCCAAGCAGCGCAGCGTGGGCTCTCCCGGCACAGGAGCACGTGTCCGCTGAGGTGCTGTGGCTCTGCAGAACTAGACTCGGACTTGGGGGTAGCCCCACTTCGAGGGGAGATAGGGGTCCGCTAGTGCTTTTGGGGCGGGCGGAATAGGGGAAAGTTCCTCCCCTCCCCTGGCTTGGGCTGCGTGTGGAATAAAGCCCCATGGCCTCGGGCTCTTTCTTCTTGCACAAGGCAATTTGCGGAGCGGACTTTGGTTTCTGTTCCGTGGAGGATGCTGGGACCGGAGGAGGCGTGAAGGGGAGGAGCTCAGTCAGTAGTTTGTGGGTAGAGAGATGGTGTGTGTGAGGAGTGATTTATTTCTGGGGTGTGGGTTTTGGTGATGCCTGGGCAAGGGAAGGGAACAAAGTTATTTATGTGTAGGTTGTTTCTGTAGGGGTACTTTACAGGACATGCCCCTCTTCTAAGGTAACTTTTCCTTAGATCTCACCAAAGGAAATACACTTCCCCATTTCTGCCTCTGTAACTCTGTGGTTTGTTTTTTTGTTTTTGGTAAATTGTTCGCTAGTTATTGCCCATGATGACACTGGTTACCTCTGTGCATGGTTCCACAACCTCGATGAAATTCTTCTCCTGACCTTTGGTGCTGAGGGGTTTAACAACTAAATTACTGGGTTGGAATGAGCCTGAGGAAGGCGGATGAGGAGTATTTTAGATCTCCACTTAGACACGCTGGTTGGAGTAGCAAGAAACGCACACTTCAGATGCAAAAAGAAAAGGAGTACTTGTGGCACCTTAGAGACTAACCAATTTATTTGAGCATGAGCTTTCGTGAGCTACAGCTCACTTCATCGGATGCACTTCAGATGTTGGCTAACCCTTGTATTGCCAAGGGTTTGCCTTCTGTGTCATTGAGGAATAAATGCTATGCTGATTTGGGGTCTCTATAAATGCGAGACTGCTCCTCCTGCTTGCCGGAAATTCTGTGATTCAGTTTTCTGGGTCTGGTGGCCTAAGCTCTGTCTCCTTTGTGTGAGGGTTGGAGATCACGGCTTTGTCAGAACAGTTAATAGAAAGGATCAAGTGCTAATTTGAATCTCTCCTTCTGTACTTTATGGGATCTTGGGCATTAAACCTCTGACCTCTCCAGGAACTGATGGTGCCGGTTCAACCCATCTCTAATACTCCCCTGTGCAGAAGGCTGACTTTTTATTCCTGATTCTCACTCCCCCTTGGTGACGCTTTCCTTTATGTTTTATTTATGCCCAGCCTTACAGAAGGATTAAGCCATGCAGTGTTGTGCTGTATATCTCTTAAATGTTTGCGGAGTGGACTGAATGCTAATTCACTAGTGAAAACCTACCACTCCGTGATCATTTTGTCATTTTTTCATACAGGAGCGAGTTGGGGGACTGAGACTTCTACCCAGTCATGACAGTAGAGGCTGTTTTCCCAAGGCTGTAGGTGCTTTTCTTTGTTCAGAAGACTGTGCTTTGTGTGTGTGTGTGTGTGTGTGTGTTGAAAAGTGATTGACAGGTGATTTTTTTTTCTGCAGCGCTCTCCCAGACCAACCAAAATCAATCTTACTCCCTTAAAGAGCCCAGCACTAAAGAAGTCAGGGTGATCTGTGCCCCACTGTGGGTGGCTTTTTGGTTAGCAGAGGCAGAGAGTTTGGGAGAACATCTTTGGCCCTGATTGATCAATCAGCTCCATTTGAAGGGGTCTGCACTAGTGGATCTGTAATGAAAAACTGGGGCCTAAGGCAGTCTCTCAGCCTCCCCTGGGTACCCCATTGGACTGCTAACCTAGAAGACAACCCATAGTTTGACAGATCATTGCAGGATGAGGGCCTTAATGTGTATGTCACAGTGGTTAGGGCCAAGTGGAATGCTCTCCGTATGCGTCCTGAACTGCTGCGAGCAGTGACATCCAGGGTGAGAAAGCCCTTGGGATTGGTTCCCATTTGCTGGTCAGTAGGGTCTAAGGCCCTCAACCTGCAATTGGTTGTGTGGTGGACTCCTGCATCCACGCATGGCAGCGTTACCCTCAATGGATTGCCTGAACGGTGCTATTACAGGACAAGCCTTTATGGTCATGTTGTAAAATCCATTTGTTTTAATCATGCTGTTTATATTCAGGTTTGTGGCTGTCAGGGCGTTTGTTATAACAGGGTTTAATTTTGCACCAGGGCTGCCTTATGCCCATTTGATAGCAGTTATTTTGGTTTTTAAGTTTTGGGAATTTACCCAGATAAACCCAAACCAGCTATTCTTCAGCCAGAATAAGAGTGTCTGCACAGGGACCTGCACCAGTTTAACTAACCCAGATTTAAAACTGATTTAAGTTAAAATGTTGCAACTTTCTCATATAGCTAAGCCTTAGGTCACATGGGAAAGGAATCCTTCTTGGGTAACATAATCCTGTCTGGTTTTATTTTTACATGGGTCCTTTTTGTTATATGATATGACAGCAATAAACCAGGGGAACTGGGTTTATTCTGCTGGCTCTGGGCACGGCAGGGCGGTGTTTTGCAATTGGAAGTATTGAGTAACCAGTTTTTAGTTGGAAATGTGTGAGACTGTGTAATTGAATCCCCCAGGAGTCCACTTGGCTTAAAACAAGTCTACGCTACCATGCTACATTGGCGCAGCTGCAGCGCGTCTGGTGAAGACGCGCTGTGCCGATGGGAGAGTGCTCTCCTGTGGGGATAATTACGCCACCTCTGCGACAGGCGGAAGCTATGTCCGCGGGAGAGTGTCTCCTACCCACAAAGCGCTGTGCACGCAGGCACAAGTTATATCACTCAGGAGGGTGTTTTTTTTCACATCCCTGAGCGACAAAAGTCTTGCCGACATAAATGCGAGTGTAGACGTGACCTAAGTCGGCTTACGTACACTGGTGTAAGACTCTTCTGTAGACACACTTAAACTGGTTTAAAGTATGCTCACAACAGTTTAATTCAGTTACCATATTGAGCTAAACTAGTATGATGCACTTTAAACCAGTTAATGTGTCTACAGTAGGGTGTGACTAAACTGACTTTAAATTGGTTTTAATTACATCAGTGCAAGTTGTCTAATGCAGTGGCTCTCAACCTTTCCTGACTGCTGTAGCCCTTTCAGGTGTCTGATTTGTCTTGCGTACCCCCAAGTTACACCTCACTTAAAAACTACTTGCTTACAAAATCAGACATAAAAATACGGAAGTGTCATGGCACACTTACTGAAAAAATGCTTATTTTCTCATTTTTACCATGTAATTATAAAATAAATCATTTGGAGTATAAATATTGTATTTATACAATACAATGTATTGTATTTATACATTTATACATTTCAGTGTATAGTATATAGAGAAGTATAAACACGTCATTGTCTGTATGAAATCTTAGTTTGTATTGACATTCCTAGTGCATTTTATGCAGCCTATTGTAAAACTAGGTAAATATCTAGATGAGTTGATGTAGCCCCCTGGAAGACATCTGCGTACCCCCAGGGTTACATGTATCCCTGGTTGAAAATCACTGGTCTAATGCAGAGAAAACTCCAGAAGGGTTAGCTTAGCTTTGGGATGCCAGGGGTTGAGATGCCCAAACTGTGTAGCGTCACAGATTCTATCCCTTTAGGGGTGGTTCATCCTTCCAGTGTTGGAGTTGATAAATTATGCCCTGTAGTTTACGTGGGGGTATTTCACACACAGCCGGGGGCACAGTGGGGGAGGCAGTACCCCAGCCCTAACTGGATGACGCAGGACTGCGTGGGCCAAATTTAAGTGAGTGGTGTTGTGACCTGGCACACCGAGTTGCAACACCACTCAGATTTGGGGCGGCTGGGCAGGTAACCTGGCCCCCCTCCTTACACACCTGTATGCAGCTGAGATCACTGAGGATCCCATGGCTTTTTATTATAAGAGTTGAGGACTGTGCCAGGGTCCTTAGCCGAAATCCTTGCTCACCCCTCCTCAGCTGTCATGCACTATATTGTGGTCTAGGTGGCTAGCCCCCTGCACCCCACAAGGTGGGAACATTTCAGTTGTGCTCTATCTAAATACATTTGAAGCACTGTAGGGCTCCTGAATAAAAGTTGCTGATCCAGGTATAATAATATTGTTCTATTATATTTCCATAGTGGAGGGAAAGACTATCATGTACACCTGCAAAATAATCTCTCTCTGTAATACCATAGGCAAGGGGATTATGTTTTATGCTTTTGGCCCTATGTGGTTATCGGTGCAATTTGATGGGTTACTTAAGTGGCTACATCGAGGTTAAGTAGCCGATGGTCGAGAAGCAAGGAGGGAGGGGTAGGAGAGTTACAGTGGATGGCTGGGGAGAGATGATATGAGTTAGATTGATGAATCATAGAATCATAGAATATAAGGGTTGGAAGGGACCCCAGAAGGTCATCTAGTCCAACCCCCTGCTCGAAGCAGGACCAATTCCCAGTTAAATCATCCCAGCCAGGGCTTTGTCAAGCCTGACCTTAAAAACCTCTAAGGAAGGAGATTCTACCACCTCCCTAGGTAACGCATTCCAGTGTTTCACCACCCTCTTAGTGAAAAAGTTTTTCCTAATATCCAATCTAAACCTCCCCCACTGCAACTTGAGACCATTACTCCTCGTTCTGTCATCTGCTACCATTGAGAACAGTCTAGAGCCATCCTCTTTGGAACCCCCTTCCAGGTAGTTGAAAGCAGCTATCAAATCCCCCCTCATTCTTCTCTTCTGCAGGCTAAACAATCCCAGCTCCCTCAGCCTCTCCTCATAAGTCATGTGTTCCAGACCCCTAATCATTTTTGTTGCCCTTCGCTGGACTCTCTCCAATTTATCCACATCCTTCTTGAAGTGTGGGGCCCAAACCTGGACACAGTACTCCAGATGAGGCCTCACCAATGTCGAATAGAGGGGAACAATCACGTCCCTCGATCTGCTCGCTATGCCCCTACTTATACATCCCAAAATGCCATTGGCCTTCTTGGCAACAAGGGCACTCTGCTGACTCATATCCAGCTTCTCGTCCACTGTCACCCCTAAGTCCTTTTCCGCAGAACTGCTGCCTAGCCATTCGGTCCCTAGTCTGTAGCTGTGCATTGGGTTCTTCCGTCCTAAGAATCCACGTTGAAAAAAAAACAACTTTCCCTCCCACCCCCATTCCTGGACAGCTATGTAAAAGGAACTTGGTTGGACCAATGAATGTGAAGTGCTGAGTGGGGACGGGTACAGGAACATTTTTTTTTTCTCTGCTGGGAATGGGAGGTTCAGGTTTGCTGTTTCCTCTCCTTTACCAGAAAGTGCTGAGCTGGCTTATCATTAACGAGGCCTCTTGTTTGTCTACCTATTGATTGGTTAGCTAGTCTTGTGTGTGCTGGCATAGCCTGTCTCTGGCTGCAGGAGAAGAAAGATCTGTGGTCAGGAGTTAACAGGAGGAAGTCAGTTTCCAGAGCAGTTTTCATGTGTTACTGGGGTGAGTCTGCTGGGTGAGACCAGCGTGCATTTTAATCACATTTATTCAAGATGGGGCGGTGAGGATTTCCTGGGGCTCCCTGTGTCGATTTAGTGAAAACACTAGCGCTGAAGAGGAGACTTTTTTCCTTGGACCCTGTTAGTACGGAAACCCATTAGAACTGTGCTAGGAGGGTGGGACCCGCTCAGCCCATTGCCTGGCAGGGGATCAGAGTCCAGGTCCTTTGGTCCAGAACCAGGGCCTGAAGTGGTTTGGGGAGGAGGAAGGGAAAGGACGTTGGTGTAAAGGTCACTGTGTGTTGGGAGATAGGGGAGCTGTGTGCTGTCACTAGCCAGGGATTCTGGGAGCCTGCGGAGAAGCCTTTGTTTCCCATCTCTGCCCACAAAGTGGTACTTGGGTACTGCTACATCTCCACTTTCCATCCATTCTCAGTCATGCTGTGCTGGCCCTGCCAGAAACATTCCATTGAGCAGCCAAGCTCCAGGCAGAAGCTGGAGGAGAGGGGAGATTGCATGGGGATGGGGGGCGGGGGTTGGGTTTTGTTTCTCTTCCTTTGCCTTTATCCTCCAAACCTACCAGCTCTCCCTCACTCCATTCTCCCTCTCCCCCTTCCCACGGGGTCAGGGAAGCTGGCCAGGGGAAGCTGGCGGCAGATTATATGAGGCTGTTGGGGGAGCAGGAGAAAAATCCTAAATACCCAACGCTCCCATTTCATGCAAGAATCTTGACAAGACCGGTCCTTACATTTGACCTATATGGCCTGAACGGAGACTGTTGGGGTCACTGACACCAGAGGAAACAGGCTTAAAAAACCTGCATCCTTCATTATGGACCATTTACTGTGTTGGTGGGGAACGGGTGTTTCCTGTCTGAGGAGAATGAATCAAATACCATGGGGTGATGCTCTCTGCAAGGTAGTGCAGAGCCCTGGTGCAGTCTTGCTGTAAAAAGAAAATCGGGTTGTTTCAAACCCTAATGTGAATGGAAATATTGTCACCTGTTTTTTTTTAATTTCTGAAATGATATTTTGCCAGGGGCTGGGAGGAACGAGGTATTTGGGGGATTTCTTTTTTTCATTTTTGATTAAAATTTAAACAGGCCCATGCACTGGAGAAATCCATCCTGACCAGCTGCTACAGGAGAGCTAGAAAGTGAAACCGACTAGTTTCCCTGCCCCAAGTGCAGAACGTGGGAAAAGCTAATTGGGTCTGTGGTGTCAAATACATTTCCTGTTTCACTGAGACACTTTAGAACCTCGCTCATTAAGGCCTGGTGTAAACACCAGTTTTGTACTGGTGTAACTATGTCAGTTAGAGGTATGGTGTTTTTACCTAAGTAGTTAGGCCAGTACATAACCTACTGTGTGCACAGAATACAGGAGTAACTATAGTGGTCTAACGCATTGTTATACCAATATGACTGTGTTCGCACTTGTGGGTGTTCTCATGCTTTAATTACACTGGTGTAGCTAAAGCGACACAACTTTCTGTGGTAGATATGGCTTAACTGTTTGAAATGCCATGAAAGCCCTGGGTTATCTCAACTGTGGTATCATTGTGGCTACTCTCCAGTAACACACAACTCCAGGAAACTAAGTGAATAGAGCGAGATAACAACTGATGCAAGAGATTATGAATCAACCCTTGTGCTGTCCTCATAACTTGTCCTTCTGGGTTCTCTCTCCTGGTTTCCCACATCACTGCTGTGCACAAAGAACAAAACCTGTACTTTCGTCTAAAAAATTGCTTGTATTTTGAAAACAGAAAACAGAAGTATAAGGAAAAAATTCTTTTCTTGTATAAAGAAAACAGAAGTAAGAAGGAACAAAAGCTAAGTTTCTTTTGGAGAGTGGACTGTATGCGTCTCTTCTGTTATAGGCTGTAGCAACTCTGGGAACAGAATGGGGGATCTCTGCAGACAGGCAGAGTGCTTAGAGATATAAAGGTGCAAGTACACACACAAGATGCGTCACTGTTTCATAGCTACATATACCAGATCTGTTTCATCAGACCGATTGGTCTTTTTTGGCATAGAGCCTTATTCAGTGCCCTTCATTGGGACGTAGTTACATGTAAGTCTTAAACTGGCTGCGTACTCTGGAAGTGAGCCAAAGAGCTAGAAAACTGGGACGACCAGTCGTGGTGCCTGTCTCTGAAGTGCTGTGACAATATTGATGCAAGTAGGTGCCAAAATGGAAGAAAAGCCCCAGGCAGGAAGTAGCACCCTGCCTGCCTTGACGCACACGTTTGTTTGTGGCAGCCACTGAAACTTGTGTAAGAATGGATTTCACTTCCACAGCTCAAAGCCAGCAGCTCCCACTCAGAAACCTCACCCTGTAGGGGTTAGTGCTGACACGGCGGGAAGGTCTCCGAGTTGTCCAGAGCCCAGTCCTGATAGGGGCATGTGAGCCCTGTGATGCAAATATTTGCTAGCAATAATCATAAACTCTGGCAAACTGCAGGGAAAGTAACGAGGCTTCCTGCACGAATGCAGGATTCTTGTCCTGTGCAGCAAGCCCCACCCCCCCACCTCCGGCAGTGCTAGCCCATTGGAGGCCCAAAGCAGGGATTTTTTGGGGGGTCCTGCACATACAACACATACGAAAAAAGTGAATAGAGCAAGTGCTTAGTTTGCTTATGCCTAGTGCCAGATCTGCCCACCCTGTTGCTCAGTGCTGATGGCATTGATCCCCTCTAGCCCATGAGATCTGGTCTTCCTTGTTGACAGAATCCACCTGGCTAACACAGTGTCTGGGTCCTCAGCTTTATTTGATGAAGGCCTTTTCTTAGTGAATAATTAGGGCTGAATCATCAGAGCTGAGATCACTCCCGCCTGTGGCAAACCAGAAGAGAGACTTTTGGGAGAGGAATCCAGGTGAAAATTCCTGTCTCAAGTGCTGTGGAAGAACCAGCACCGGGGGTTGTGTTTTGTGGCATCATATTCTGTGCTAATGTAGCTTGATGTTTCCCTTCTCTTCTCCGTCCTCTAGGTTCCCTGGGTCCTTGTCTCCTCCCCCAGGATGCTGAGGGCAGCCCTGTGTGCCATCTTTCTCTTATGTGCCCTGCCATCATTGGCCAAGGAGTCCCAAGGGCATGTCTCCGTGGTCTTGCTGGGAGCCACAGGAGACCTGGCCAAGAAGTACTTGTGGGAGGGGCTGTTCCACCTCTACCTGGACCAGGTGAGCAGTGGCCACAGCTTCACTTTCCACGGGGCTGCGCTGACGGCACACGAGCCAGGGCAGAGGCTGATGTTTGAGGTGCTGAAGAAGCTTGCCTGCCCGTCGGATGTGTCCCCCGACAGGTGCGCTGTGGTCAAGGACCAGTTCCTCAAGCTGAGCCGGTATCACCAGCTGAAGACGTCCGAGAACTACACTGCCCTGAACCGGGAGATTGGGACTCTGCTCCAGCAGGAGGGGCTAGAGGAAGCTGGCAGGATCTTCTACTTCTCAGTGCCGCCCTTTGCCTACGCGGAGATCGCCCGCCACATCAATGGCAGCTGCAGGCCGCGCCCTGGAGCCTGGCTGCGGGTGGTGCTGGAGAAGCCTTTTGGCCATGACCTCAAGTCAGCCCAGCAGCTAGCCATCGAGCTGAGGACTTTCTTCCGGGAAGAGGAGATGTACCGGGTGGATCACTACCTCGGCAAACAGGTGAGCAGACTTGGAATGACTCTGTTGCCATGCTGGATGGGGTCTTGGCGGGGTGGGAGCTTGGCTCGTGGGAGGTCCCTAAATTTCAGCCTTTCATTTAATGTGGGCAGCAGGCTGCCAGGTGCACCAATCACAGCCCAACTGAGCTGCTCACCTAGGTTGCTGGAGCAGTGAAGAGACCTGGAGCCTATTGAGTCTTCTTATCACTGTTCATTTGACTGGTTCCTTGTCCCCTTCACCAAGATGCGCAGGGCTGGAGACGAAGATACAGCTAGCTGTGACCCAGTGAGGCCGTCTCGGTTCCTGTTGATCTGACTGTCTTGTGAAATGAGGAGAAGGCCTTCATCAAAAGGCCTTCATCACATTGGCTCCTCCTCACTTATTAATACTACTGGTCATTGCTGCATAAAGGATCCATGGCTGATATTCAGCATCAGCAAAATAAACCTTAGTAAGACTGGCTGGTGGGCCGGGCGCATGGACTGTAAAGGGAAGGCAGGGAGGGGTCGGGGTGCAGGCCACAAGCTGGATATTTCCACCCTTCCTTTGGGTCTGAGAGCGCAGCAGGATTTTAAACATGCTGGGCAGAACCTCGAGCCTCCCCCCTCAAAATCTGCCTGGCTCCTCGTGTGCAATTTTTATCTAACAAATGTAGGGTTGGTGCAATAATATTGTAAAACGTAGCTGTCGCTTGAGGGCCATGTCAGGTGTGTATGACCTCACTCATAGGCCATGATGTCCCATTCCCATCAGACCTATGGAGTTCTGAGACACTGGTTGCGGGCTTCATTGCTCCCACGTTTCTTCCTAGTGAATGCCAGCCTGTCTGCGTTCTGCATGTCCTTGGACTGTGTTACCTTACAGTGCCATAGGTGTGCACCGTGCTTTGCAGATGCAGAAGAAGGCAAGGTGCCTGAGGAGTCGAGAGTCTGTTGTAGATCAGGGCTATACAAACAATTAAGGACTAGGTGCAAGAGTACCAGAAGGTGGGTTATCAAGGTCTATGTTTTTTCCCCTTGCTCCCAACCCAACCAATCCTGGAGGGCTTATAGCTACAGATATCCTTGTGGCTACGGCACAGCTACTGTGAGTCCGGACTCCTAGATTCGTTTCCAAGCTCTGCCTCCTAGAGGCACCGTGACTTGTCCTCTCTGTGCCTCAGCTTCTGCATCTGCAAATGAGGATGGCCCCTGCCTGCCAGTGAGGTCTGGAGGCTAAATGGATCCCTGTTTATGAAGCGCTTAGAGCTCTTTTACTGCTCTCACAGTGTATCTGGAACCTGCCACCCCGGTGTCTGAGGGGTCCATCTCCCCTTGGGATCCCAGGCAGAGCAGTTCAGAGCATGTTTCAAACCCTCCCCTTGCCGAAGAGAATGTGTCCAGCCCACTATTCCGGGCTGCAGACGAGTGACCTTGCGGTGACTGGCCATTACTTTTCCCCTGTACTGCCGGCCCATCCCTCACCGAGGTGAGCGAGGGGGAGGGAAATGTGCAGACAGAGGCAGGACCTTTCCATGCCAAAGTGATAAGGGTCCGGCTCTTTGTTCTCCTCCTCCTAGCGAGGTGGCCACGTATGGGGGTGTGTGTCAGATGCAGAATCCATCTGGTCTTCCAGTCAAGGTCAGGGCTTGTATTTCGCTGAGTAAGCAAACCCTTCCCTTCCAGGCAGTCCCAGCCTGTTAGCACCAGCTTCTAGAGGAGGCTTTTAATTTGATATGATGTGCTCTTGCTTGCTTTTTTTTTTTTTTTTTTTTTTTAAATGATCAGCCAATTTTTCAGGGGCTGGTGCATCTGTGCGAGTGACTGCAGCAGGACAGAGTGGGGAGGGGGTGGTAAAGGCAGTGAACGTAGCCCTGCGGCAGAGGAAGTCACATGTCTCCTGCTCTCGGCTGGAAGAGGGGGTGGAGGCAGGAAAGGGGTTCATCGCTTGATTCTCTTGAGAATCAAGACTGTTCCCTCACCCCCACCCCCATGAGATCCTGGGCCCCCGAACTATGGCCTATATGCTCTCTGCTTTTGACTTCGTTTGTCCTTTCCCCTGCGCCAGATATTGCCAGATCCAGCAGGTAAATTACTGGTACAGACCTGCTTGGGATCAGGTCCCCTAATTGGAAGGCAGCTGACACATAATCCAGGTGATTGTATCTGCTACACCGGGAGACATCTTTCTCTCCCTGTCAATCCTGCGTACCTAGGGGCTCTCCTCTAGCAGTAGGTGGATGGAACAGGGTTCTCTCTTGGATCTGCTGAGACCTTTCTGGTAAGGAACTAAGAGGGGATCACCATTCTGGTGGTCCATTGTGCCACTACCCCATCTTTTGAACTATAAACATGAAGTAGGGAGTGGTACCTGATCAGGATCCATCCTGAGCTGGGAGATCAGTGTTAACATCATACTTGAGAACCAGTCCACAGATGCAGTGCTTTAATGTTTCCCATTTTGTCCTCAGTTTCTCCTGCCTTCTCCCAGGCGTTCCCAAGGAACTCCACATTATCCACCATCCACCTACAGTCCCACTTCCCACCGCCTGTTATCCCTGTAAACCACTAGTTTGGGAACAGCTGGGTTGCGCCAGAGATGTGATGGTTAGCTTTATACGGAAGTTTTCCTGACTTTGTGTCTCTTGACCTCCATGGGTTTTCAGCATGTCTAGCTCTGATAGGGCTGGTCAGCTAGAGATACTGGAGTCCTCTACATAGAGGAGGTAAGTGTTGCCATCCACACGTTACAGATGGGGGAAGGGAAGAGATTGGCCCAAGGTCCTCCAGCAGGCCATTGTCAGAGCCAGGAACAGAACCCAGTTCTTCCGACTCCTAGCCCAGCCCCAGATCCACTAGACCACAAGTGATTCGAGGGCCACGATGCTGCACCTTCCTTGATCAGGTTTTTGAAGACCTCAGGTGACCTTTCCCTTCCCTCCCCTTCCCACCCAGCCTTCCTCAGCCAGCCGACAAGGTGTCACTTTCTGTAGCTGTGGAGCGGGCTGAGCTGACGTTTCACTCTTGACCCCAGAACACAGGGCTCTGAGAACATGCCGCTGCCCTGTCCAGATATGTCTGAGCAGCTGCATGGCCCCTTAAGGGAACACGTGTGAGGTGGACGCACTGCCCTGGCCTCGGTGTGCTGTGACATCTCCTTTTCGAAATAGCCTTGTTCCATCCATAGCCCCACGTCCCGGTCACAAGAGTGCATGTCTGACTGCAAGGAGAGCATCTCGACTAGAATTTGTTTTGCCCTAAGTGAGAACAGATGGCTCAGTGGTGTATGCGGCCCCTTTGATCCACCTCAACTTCCCTGGAACCCTGGCTTGGAATCCTAGCAGGGTCTGACTCAGCCATTTGCCCTTCTGAGGGAGAGAAGCTGAGTGTCTTGTGTTTTGTGTGCCAGTCTCTTTCTGATGAAACCGTAAAACGTTTGCCTTGTCCAGGGAGGCCTTTCATGTTTGTCCCACGTGGACATTAGAGACTCCATGGTACTTTCTGCAAGAGTCAGGCTTTATTTACCCTGCTGTTCTTGTGCCGATTTCTCCTCTTCCTCCCTGTGCTGGGTGCTCCCTAGACCTCAGACAGGGCAGTGTTTCCGTGCTGGATGGAGCAGTGGGATGGGAGATGCTCTAGAAATGCTGCTGGCTTTGGATTTTTGTTTTTAACGCTGATCTTTCCCTCCCTCCCTCCCTTCCTTCCCAGGCTGTGGCCCACATCCTGCCTTTCCGAGACCAGAACCGACAGTTTCTGGACCCAATCTGGAACCGGCATCATGTGGAGAGAGTAGAGATTGTCCTGAAGGAGACTCTGGATGCTAAAGGTCAGGGATCCTGAGCTGAGCTAGCCAGGGGGAATCTCTCAGGACCTGGGTGGCTTTAGTGTATCTGTGTGAGAGCGCCCCTGTGGCTGAATGTTGCAAATGCATGAGAAGGAGGCCAGGTGGGTAGCTGAGTGGTGTCGCTCTGCATGTGTGTGTGTAAAACTGATCTTTATTTTCCAGAAATATACAAACTTATTCTCTCATTTCTTCTACTCTGATGGGTACTTGAGAGGCAGAAATGTGATTCCCAGTCATGGCTGTTACCTCCCTCAGCTGGAGGGGGAACCTGCCCCTTCCTCCTGCTGCAGAGTTCGGGAGCCTTTCCCATTGATGCCCAGAGACCGTGAGTTCTGCTGCAGAGGGACTCAGAGAGGGCCCGGCTTGGGTTCAGGTCTCATTTGGTGCTGTGGCATGAAAGTTTAAATCAGGGTTAAGCTGCAGCTTTTGCCCGGGGGAGCTACTCGCACCCACCAGGCTGTGCTCGTCCATCCCAGCACAGGCGCATCTCTCTCAGCAGCTGTTAAGAGAGGGAGAGAGGAGCCGCGTGCTGCTGGCGCGGGTCTCTTGCTGAAGGACATGGCTGCGATCCCTCCCTGCAGTGCTACAGCCCCACGCTGCAGTGCTGAGCGGAAAGCACTCTGGTTTGGGCTGCCACCGGCAGCAGTTCTGGGCACGCCAGGTGCCCTTATTTCTGCAACCTCAGGATTCTGTCTCTGCTGCCCGTTCCTTCTCCCTCCCCCGCCCCTAGCCACCACACAGGCAGTGTCAAATAAGGTAACTATTAAAGCCTGGTCACTGATCATTTGACACTCCCCCGCCCTGCAGCCCGGCTTCCAGAGAGTCTGCAGCATTGATTGCGTTAACAAATGTGCCTTTGGATTAGACAGAGGGAGACAAACTATATCAAACCAAAGGGGAAACCCAGGGCAGGGGCGCGGTCTGCAGCGCTTCGCCTGCCCCTGACCAGCTCACTGGAGGCTTTGGTTTGAATCACCTGCATTGAATAGGACATGGTCCTTCTCCCTCCCAGCCCCAGTAAGAAATCAGCCCAGGGCCGTATTGAAGTGGGTAAAGCCCAACTCCTGCAGAAAGGGCAGGGCTTAAGTTGATGGTCCGGGGGAGTATTCAACCGCTGGGAGTGGACTATGCACCGAGTGGTGGATGGAAGGGTCCCAGTGTAATGCAGACGGCTGCTGCTTTGTTGACCTGATCCGTTGCTGCGGAATCGCGAGGGGTACCTGGGTTTGTTCTGATCCGTCTGTTAAGGCTTTGATGTGGATTCACACCCCAGCTAGAGACCCCAGGCTCTGCTGCCCTCCCTCCTGCCCCTTGAGATGTGCCCATCATTGCTGGGGTGAAAGAGATGCCAGGCACTGCACAGTCTTGTGTTGCTTTCCCAGCACATTGGCTGGACGCTGATCCCAGGCCCAGACTGAACACACGGACTGTGCTGCTGGCCTTGTCAAGCAAAGCCCACTCCCCCACCCACCCCCGACCCCAGTCTCAGGAAGCCCCAGGCAAGGCTGTAATTAGGGTTGGCTTAATTCTCCATTGGTGCCTGAGGACATACCGGATTTGCTGCCTCCTCTCAGCCCTTCTGCTCACCCAGCCCCCACTCTCCCGTTCCCTCCTCCAGCGGAGGTCCCTTTTGCTGCTCCAGTGAGGGCAGCTGGTCTCCTGGGAATTCTTTATCAGCTGCGGCAGCTTCTCCTGGAAGGCCCCGCTGCAGTGGGCGAAGGGGTTTGCGGAGCTGAAGTGGTTTCTGAGGTGCCTGCAGAGGCAGCTGGCCTTGTACCCAGTCTGGGGCTAGAGACGGCTCTGTCCCTGGGCCTGTCCCTTCATTCCCTCGGGCACCAATATTCAAGCTCCTTTCCCAAGCTGGGGGCTGCCGGGGGGTTTCTTTTTCCTACTGCTCTGACTGCTCGTCTTTCGCCTCCTCGTCACGCTCAGGCCGCACCAGCTTCTACGAGCAGTACGGCGTCATCCGTGATGTCCTCCAGAACCACCTCACCGAGGTCCTGCTGTATCTCGCCATGGAGCTGCCAGCCAACATCAGCAGCGCCGAAGAGGTTCTCCAGCGCAAGCTGCAGACCTTCAAGTCGTTGCAGGGCCTGGAGAGCACCAGCGCGGTGCTGGGTCAGTACCAGGCCTATGCTAGCCAGGTGCGGGAGGAGCTGCAGAAGGCCCAGGACTACGTCAGCACGACGCCAACCTTTGCAGGTGGGGGCAAGACCCAGGCTGATGACGTCATAGGGCATAAAGGCTGAGGCAGGTGGGGTGGTGGTCAGAGTATGGGACTAAGCGACGGGGAGCGGCCAAATCCTAATCCCAGCGCCGTCACTTCCTCTGTGGCCGTGGGCCAATCACTTAACGTCTGTCTCTGCTTCCACAGCTGCAACACGGGGACAGTAGCTGCCTTGTTTATTTCTAGGGCCTCTGTCCCTGTGGGACCGAAAGAGCCCGAACGTTTTCAAACTGTCCAGACTCCCAGGGACCTATAAGGATCTGTTGGGCCATGAAGCCACAGGTGGAATTATTAGTATAAATGTCTGAGTTATTTTTAGGAATTCATTCTATAGTGGCTTAGCTCCCTCCCTTCACTGTATGGGGATGGGCTGTTCCATGTCTCCAAAAGGTAAGAAGGGGGGGTTTCTCTGGGGCTGGTGGATCTCAGTTCATCACAAGGCCATCTCTGGCCACACTGCACGTGCTCAGTGTTTTGATTCTTGGCTAGGGAGTGATGTGACGGCTCATCCAGAGAAACTGCTGTCCTAAGGGGTAGCTCGGCAAGCTGAGGAACGCGGTGGGCTAATCGGGAGAGAGCAAGGCAAATCCTTGGGGACCTGGCAGGGTGATGGGGAGGGCTGATTGTGGCGCAAGGGAGGCTCCGGATGCCAGGATTCTTGGGACCCACGCAAGAGAACAGTGCTTGGGCTCGGGCCTGAGGTTCCCCTGTCATTTCAGGTGTGTTGATTCAGCTAGACAGCCTGCGCTGGGAGGGAGTCCCCTTCCTCCTCACCTCTGGCAAAGCTCTGGACGAGCGGGTAGGCTACGTCCGCGTCCTCTTCAAGAACCGGGCCTACTGCACCCAGCGTGAGAGCCTGAGGGAGATGGGGAAGAGCCAATGTGGAGCCAAGCAGATCATCTTCCACATCGGGCACGGGGAGCTGAGCTGTCCTGCCGTGCTGATCAGCCGGAACCTCTTTAAGCCCATCATGCCAGAAGGCAGCTGGAAGGAGGTGGTGGATCACCCACAGCTGCACCTCTTTGGGCTCCCGCTGTCGGATTATTACGTGTACAGCCCTGTGAAGGAGAGAGAGGCTTACTCCGTCCTCATCTCCAGCATCTTTCACGGCAGGAAGGACTCCTTCATCACCACTGAGAACCTGCTGGCGTCTTGGGAGTTCTGGACCCCGCTGCTGGACAGCTTAACCCAGCAGGTCCCGCGCCTGTACCCGGGGGGCCTGGAGAACCAGCACCTCCTGGACTTTGAAATGATGGGCAAGGAGCTGTCCTTCACGCTGGAGGAGCCGGTGGAACTGCTGCACAGCGATGGGCAAACGCCAAGTGACTACAGAACCATCCAGGCCAAGTTTCGGCAAAGCCCCTTGGTTTCGGCTTGGCCAGAGGAGCTGATTGCCCGGTTGGCGTTGGACATTGAGACGGCGGCAGCCAAGGCTGTGGCACGCTGTGGTGAGTTCCACCTGGCCCTGTCGGGCGGCTCGAGCCCCATCGTCCTGTTCCAGCGGCTTGTGAGACACCACTACGGCTTCCCGTGGAGACGCACCCACTTGTGGCTGGTGGACGAGCGCTGTGTGCCGCTCGCCGACCCAGAATCCAACTTCCGCAGCTTGCACAACCACCTCCTCCAGCATGTCCGGGTACCCTACCTCAACATCCACCCCATGCTGGTGCACCTGAACCGACGGCTGTGTGTGGAGGAGGACCAGGGGCCAGAGCTGTACGCCAAGGAGATTGCAGCACTAGTGACCAACGCCAGCTTGGACTTCGTGCTGCTGGGGCTGGGCTCCGACGGGCACACGGCCTCGCTCTTCCCGCATTCGTCCAGTGGCCTCGAAGGGGCCAAGACGGTGGTGCTGACGGAGAGCCCTGTCAAACCCCACCAGAGGATGAGCCTCAGCCTGCCTCTCATCAACAAAGCCAGGCAGGTGGCTGTGCTGGTGATGGGGAAGGGGAAGCACGAAATCACAACCCAGATCAGTAGAGTGGGGCAGGAGCCCAGAAAGTGGCCTATTTCAGGGGTTAATCCCAGCTCTGGCCAGCTGGTGTGGTACATGGATTATGATGCTTTGCTTGGATGATCTCTTGGTTTATTCTCCCCTCACACCTGTCCTGTTGCCCTCTGGAGCCTGTATTTTCCAACTCTGCACACAGGCTCCTGTGTTTACAATAACAGCTCCTGCTCTGAACAGTTTCTCTAACTTTTGTGAAGATCCGTTGGCTGTAACGACTCTGTCATCTGAGTCTAGAAAGTGGGGCGGCTCAGTGCTTGGAGATCAGCATTGTATTCCTGACTCTGCCCTTGACTGCTTCTGTGACCTTGGGCAGGTCACATCGCTGCTCTGCACCTCAGTTTCCCCCACACACCATGGGGTTAATAATACCTACCTACCTCACAGAAGCCATCTGAGACAACTCTGATTAATTGCCTGCAGAGCTCTTCAGGATTCTCAGAGGAGCGGAGCGGAGAGAAGCGCAGTGTTACTGACTGTTAATGTTCACCTCGGATCAGACAGGCTGACAGAGTCATTTTCACAGTGGCCAGAGGCCCAGGCCCATCACAATTGTGCTGTAGTCCTGTATGTGCCACCCTTTACTTCAGCAAAATGCTGACCATTTTCCCACTCTCTTCCTTATGGAGCTCTCCTAGTCTAATGTCTTCTGGTGCAGTTCCTGTTTTAGACCTCTCCCGTATTGGCAGGTCTGAGGCCCTGCTTCATTGTAAGGGCGACTGATGTGTGGCCCTGGCTCTGATTCAGCAAAGCACCAAAGAATTTGCTGATCAATGGGACTTAAGTGCGTGTTTTGCTGAACCAGGGTCTAGCCGTGTATTGCTGTGTGTAACTGTAGTATCCACCCTGAGGCATGAGACTGTTAATGCTGAGGAAGGGATTGGGCTGTAGTCTAGATCAGCCCCTTGGAGTGCTGGTGAGCAGTCACTAGCTCTTGCAAACTTGGCAAGGGGGGTGGCCGTGATTGGGTGCAGTCATCGGGCACTGGAGTTTTCTAGACCCTGCCTGCTTGCCTTATGCCATCCATGGGATTCGTCTCATTTTAACCTTTGTCAATTGCATTGGTCCTGTTATTGATTTTCCCCCCCTTCCCCTCCCCCGGCCCCCCAAAAAGAAAAAAATTAGTCCCCTGCCCTACATGGGTGTGTTTATGCAGCCCTGGAAGCTGCAGACACCCAGGGACTATCCCTTGTGTGACCGACACTGCCCCCTCCCTGGCACTGAGCTGTGTGCTGAGTGCCGGTCTGAGGCTTTAGAAATTGCCCCGGTGCACAGGCCTAGTCATCAGTAGCAATTGCTGTTCTTCCTAAGTGGGGAGCCAGCACCACAGGGGGTTGGAAAAGGCAAGGGATGTTTAGACTTTCAGGATTATGGAGATTGGGCTGAGAGCATTGCAGCTCAGCACCAGTTATTCTGGAGATGTCGTTTGTCTGTGGTGTTACCGCTGGATGAAGCTTCCCTTGTCATTGGATCAGGGGTGGAGGGCAGAGTTACCTGAAGATGGAATTGGGTTTCCTTAAATATCCTGAGGCGCATTTGTGTTATAGTCCCCGGGAAGAGCCCTCCTCCGCCAACGTGGGCAAGTGCGGCATTGTTCAGCAGCTTGTGACCTCTCCCCGCGAGGCAGCTGTATCCAGTACTACTGTCTTCAGCAGTCATGATCCAGCGCTCACAGCAAGGATACTGCAGTGACTGGGGCTGTTACTCCCGGGCACTGGGGTGCTGTTGGGTAAGGGGAGGGAGTTTTCTGTCTCCTGGGTGTTTTCCAGCCAATCCACACGTTGCTGTCACCTCGTAGGGAGGACATGTCCTCTGAAAACATTGGAGGGGGTCAGAAGAGCGTAGACCAACAGCACAAAAGCGGGGGGGTGCAGTCCTATTTAGTAAAGGGCAGAAGAATCTTTAGAACTCTCTTTCCCCCACTACCTAAATTCCACCTTGCCCGTGTGAAGATTGTCCTTTATATAAGCCTTCGCCCCATATACTCTAGGGACTCTATGGCCTGCTTTAGTGGGCTATTTACTCTGGCATGCACGAGGAACGTTCTTTTTTTAGATAAGGAAACCCGGATTCTGCCGACTACACTGGGAGATGTTGAGCTGCTCTGTGATCTGGGGGGGGGTGGGGGGGTGGAGGGCAGAGGTAAATCCACCCAAGCATTGCAGGGCCAGGAGTACAAAACAGAGTCTTAGGAACCCAGAATAGGGACATTCTACCAGTTCCTGGCAAATCCAGATCTGCTGGTGTCTGATCCACACCCAGCAATGCCACATCCTTGACCGGCAGAACTGGAGAAGGGAAGTAAGTGACTGTTTTCAGAGGGATTTTTAGGAGGCCCCTTTTGGGAAGGGTGAATTGCTGGCTGCTGACTCTCTGATGTTTGCAGCTAGTGAAAGAATTAGTTGTCCAGTGGTCCAGTCTTGTCAGAATCCAGGTGGATGTCATCAGTCAGTGACAGGTGCGACTGCAGTTCAGTGTAAAAGCTGGAGTCTGACACAAGGTGGCGCCAAGACCAAGCAAACCAAGTGGTGATAAATGGTGTGTGTTTTCCAAGCACCACAGTGTTTGCGCCTGAAACCATGGGAGGCTGCTCCTGTCCTGCTTGCGTGAGTCTCAGGAGCCAGCCCTCGTGACCGACACAGATGTGAAATGCTGATGGAATGGGGAGGGAGAAAAAGTTTATCTGGGGGTCTGGGAGGTGGATATTGGGGCCAGATTCTGCCTGACTTGCACCCCACTGAACTCCATGGAGGTTGGTGGAAGAGGGCAGTCAGGGCAACAGTCAGACAGCTAGCCGTGTTGATGATGCATAAGCTGGGAAGGAATTGGGTTCACTCTCATGGCTGAGGGGCTAGCAGGAGTAAAAAATTTGGAAAACCAGATGGGTCACTAAAATCAGCAGCTAGGATTCAGAGTATAACAGGTCTGCAGGACATTTCACCCTGTTTTTCAGAGTTGGACTTCACTGTAAGCTGATTTGGAGTTCTGAGAATATATATTTGTTGCGGGTGTGGTGGGTGGGTTGTCAAGATCTTTCAAAGAGGGAAGGCATATGGCTAACAAGAATATCCAGTGTTAGCTGAGTTAAAACCAAAAAAGCCTTGGAAGGGATGTAAAACCCCTCCTCTGTAGAGTCGAGCCAGCCTCAGACTACTAGAGATTGGGATGAGATGTAATGTGGGAGGTCAGATTATCCCACATCTGTGTGGGTCCCCTGCACCTTCCTCCAAACCATCGGATGCTGGCCGTGATCCGAGACCAGGGGGACATGGGTCTCATTCAGTCTGGCAGTTCCTGTGCACCTGTGTTCCCACTCCTGGTCATTCTGAATGGCTTTTATTGTAGCACGCAATCCTCTTTTAATGGTGTGGATAAAAATAAAATGGGGAAGCTCTTGAGAACCAATCCCTTATTTTCAGACCTAAGGTAGACTGAGATAGAGCAGTAAGCTGTGGTGGGAGATGTGTTCTGATCTCAGTGAAATTCAGAGCTGAAGCCTTTCCTCAATTAGGGCTGCTTTGATTTCTGCCTCTGAGGTCACTGCACCAGTGCAAGCATCTAGTGCAGAAAGACCAAGCTGCAGTTTGCACAGGTGCCTCTGACCAAGCTGGGATAAATTGCTCTGGTGCAAGGAGCTTTGCTTGTCTACATCAGGGAGGTTGCACTGGTGTAGCTACATCATCGGCTGAAATCCCCAGAGGAGACAAAGGCTGTCTAGTCAGAGATGAGTGTGGGTTGGAATTGCCTCCTCTCTGGATTATTATGGCAGGCGGGCCTACCTATCGGCCTCAAAACAAAGGGTAAGCGTAAATTACTGTGTAGTGGGGAAACCCTGTTGGTTGCTTTTAGGAGGGGTGATGGGCCAGGGGTGCCTCCTGCAACTTTGGGGGCCGTGGGTCCCCAGTGGAGGAAGCCGGGGGAGCTGGACACCCGGTGCCTAGCCTGCTAGGCCAGGCCTCGCCTGGGTGGCCACTGGAGGATTTGGGATGGTCCTGAGGGCCAGCAGCTGGGTGCAGGGGGTCTGAGCGACTCTGTGCGCGTCCTCCCTGGGGCTGGGGGTGCCTCCTGCAGCTTTGGGAGTCGTGGGTCCTCGGTGGAGGAAGCCGGGGGAAGGGAGGGGAGCTGGACACCCAATGTTGGGCCTGCTAGGCCAGGCCTCGCCTGGGTGGCCGCTGGAGGATTTGGGGTGGTCCTGCAGGCCAGTGGCTGGGCACAGGGGGTCTGAGCGCAGTATTAGAAAATGTTTGTGGTCTTCCTTGTCTCCATTCTGTGTCTCATATCATCACCTACATTGTTTTCTCCAGACAGAAAATCCTCCAGCTTCTGAAAGCATTAACACAGACTGCCTACCACCATCACAATCCCCCTACAATAGGACCTTGTCATGGGATGCTCCCTTAGCTACCTGCTGTGCCTCACTTCCTGGCCTGCTTCCTTGATCCCTTAGTCCCAACCCAAACAGAGGATATAGGTATACTGCATGTGGGGCTTTCCATACATCTGAGTTCCCCCCTTCCCGATCCTCCCATTACTGCCAGTTATTCCAATTGCCTAGTAACTACCCCCCAGGTGCTCTTAATCTCCTAATAGAAAAGTGGTTAATTGCTTCCAGCTGAGCCTGTGGCCTTTCCTTGTCTACCACATTGTCAGTGCTCAGGGTGGTGCTGCTAGCCCGCTGTCACAGACCTAGAAAAACACAATTCCGCCTGCTCTTGGCTGGCTTGAAGTGCCAGGTTGCTAACAAACACTGCTAATTCCAGAATGTGCCCCTGTGGCTGAAGCAGCTGTGTAAAGAAGGAGGTTTTTAGGCCTGGGATGGCTGAAAATTCAAAGCTTAATTTTTCTTTGCTAAACAATATTAGCCGTGTTGCCTTCAGCTTCATTCAAATGGTGTGTGTGGTGTAACAGGTTTAATGTTTAAAAAAAAAAAAAAAAAAATTGGGGGGGGAATTCCAGGAGAATAAATGTAATGGCTATCAGCAGAATTTCTCTCCAGACGAGAAGGGGTTGTGACATTGCAGGAGTGGGTTAGGGGTGGGGTGTTTCCTTGGCTCTTTTTTGAAGAATTTGGCTGAAATTTTCTAAAATGACTAGTGGTTTTGAGGTGCTCCACTTGACACCTCAAAGAGGCCTGATTTTTCAGAAGTTGGGTGCTCAGCTCTTTCTGAAAATCAGGACTCCTTAAGATATCTTAGGTTGGGCACCCCAAAATTGTAAATAAAACCTTAGGTTTCCCTTTATAAAATTCCATTAGAAACTTTGTATGTAAGTGTATCCTTAGTTAGTAATTGTGCTCTGGAATATATCTGTGTTCTTCACTGAAGATCTTTCAATGTATTTCTCAGAGCGATGTCTTTTTCAGAAGCATCTGTTTTAAACTCTTTAATACTTTGTTCATATTTGCCAAATGGAAAATAACAGAGTGGGGATAAATATTTTTAAACCTCCAAAGTTTACCAGCAAGAGATTTGGGGAGCAGGATGTGGGGGAGGGAACGTGAAACTCTAAAATAAGTCTGACGCTGAAAAAGACAGTGTGGTAAAGAGCTACTTCAATCTAGGCAATGGAATCAGAGTGCTAGTTACATTTTGGGAAAGCTATTAGAAACTGTTGATTTTTATTTTGAGTGAATAGTGAGCTAGGAATGCTGTGTGCAGTTGTGTTGCTGAGTGAATGTGTGTTAAACATCTTGCAGAGAGGAGCCCATTGAGTGACTTTTTGCATTCATTTTATCACACCACCAATTATTTGTATTGTCACGGCGCTTTTTTTAAAAGGAAGAACTATTTCTTAACAGGTTTCAGAGTAACAGCCGTGTTAGTCTGTATTTGCAAAAAGAAAAGGAGTACTTGTGGCACCTTAGAGACTAACCAATTTATTTGAGCATGAGCTTTCGTGAGCTACAGCTCTCATACAAAGCAATGATGTGACCGTTTATACGTATTTACAAAAATCTAACACTGGAAATAGGCCATTTCTCACATGGTTTAACTTTTATGAATCAAGCTGTAAAGAGTTATTTTCCTGCTAATAATGAACCATAAAATGTTTGGGAATTGATGGAAATTTATTTTTAAAAAACAAATATATATTTTTGAATAATAAAATCTTTTTTCTTTGGCCAAAAGCTGCCTTTTATTCTACTTTTGTTTATTCTCTGTTTGGTGATTGTATTTAAATGGTACTGGTTCTTACAAAGACAGTAGGCCTAAATTTACAAGAGTTCGAAGAGAGTAGGTCCGAATTTTTGGTATGAGTATTCATTTTGACTCTCTCAATTTTTGCCTTCCTAACCTGAGCCATTTTAAAAGGGTCAGGGTTTCAGAAAGTGTTGAGCCACCCTCCTTCTGAAAATCAAGCCCTTTTTAAGGTGTCAAGTCGGGCTCTCAAAATCACTAGTCTTTGAAAACATAGGCTGTAATTCCTGGAAGCAGCTCTATGCTGCTTGGGGAAAATCTCCACTGATCTATTGATTTATTCTATGCATTTCTGTAGAAGCCATCACCATAGTATATGGTTGCTTAGTAACTTAGGCTTTTATTGTGTCTCAGACTCATTCAAGTCCAGCGAATCAAGATTGTGTAGCTGAATTTAAAGTGAAATCTGTAGACTTGTCTTCTACAGAATATGTTGTCTACTGAATAAGAGAATTCCAGTGCTGGTGCTCAAACCAGCTCTGTGTTCTCTGTTCCCCTGAATTCCTAACGGCCACTGCCTGGAACCAGCCCCCTCCTTGGTTAAGTGCCATCACTTGAAAAATTCAATACATTATAATATGTTAGTGAGATTTTTCTCTCCATTAAACAAAACAAAAAGGCGTTGGACCTAGTGGGGGAGGGGGGGAGAAGAGAGGAGCGGAAAAAGAAACTACATCATTTGGGGATGGGGAGGCAAAACAGCAGTTTATGCCGTTGCCCCTTTTGGGCCCAGCAGTTTGTCAATGTATGGGGGTAAACTGTTTCTATTAGGAGGAGAAACGGATTATACAAGTCAGGTATTTCTTTAGTGCAATCCTGCTCATTTAAAAAGAGTGTATGTAAAGTCCTGTTTCCCTGAACATAGTAGAAACAAAGAGCAGCAGGCTGTTTCCTTGCTCATAAATCCAAGTCTGCTTTTCCATCAAGTACTGTGCCCAAAAGCATCTCTGTCTCTCAATTCCCTCTGAAGGCCATACTCACCCCTGCTTTGCTGGTTTTCTGCCTCTGTTACATACAGATACCTACTGCAGCCAACCAATCCCCTAGTGCCTGCATTTTACAGTCAGCCCCAGGGAAACTCCTCAGTCAACATGGCTTAACTTCTTATTGGACTTATCCTAAGACCCATTGTTTTGGGTGATGGCTTCCTGTTGTTCGCAGCTATCACTAAATAAAGGTGCATTTAACGGCTCCTTCCATTCAGCCTGAAAAAATGATGCACAGCACATGTATCATCTTTAACCAGGCCAGTGATTGTCTACAGATCAAAGACCTGCTTGATGGCAGCCCATGACCTCTTCCAGCAGAACACTGTACCATCTAAAACACACATTCGACTAGACTATGGAATAGTCTCCCAATGGAAGGAGGGGAAACTTTCTGACTTGACAAAGGGCTAGCTTCTGTGCTGCATCACGCAGGAGGATGGGTGACAAGTATGAGTTCATGCTGCCTGGATTCTGGGTTGTTGCAGGGGCCAAAATGACCCTGGGATAAAATTAGTATTACAACAGCCACCCCAGAGCTGCCCATGGGCTATATTGCAGACGGGGTTCTCTGTAGCACTAAGTGCTAGGAGTACTTCCCCTTCTGCCCCCAGGACTCCCTCTAACATGCCTCTACGCCAAGGCTTGCATGGGAGGGCAGCATAGGGCCCTTACAGCTGCCTTATGCTGCTTCTGCACTTGGGGAATTCTACCCTGGTCCCTTGCGCCTCAGTTTCTGACTCTATATGTTGATGGGGCAGTAAGTATGTGTCAGAACGGGGTCCAGAATTGGCCCCATAGTATGAGAAAACATGGAGTAAAGGAACAGTGCTGCACTGGCCAAGGTGGGAGGGAGTGATAGCCACATCCTAATAGCCCTTTGATGTCCCCCAGACTGATGTCTAACCGTAACTAGGGCCACACATGAGCCTCTCACGGACATGCTGAACGGAGATAACAGCCTAATACATTAGGATTCAACAAAACATGTGTAAGTTGATAAATCCAAATCGATTATTGAAAACCTATGTAACAGCTCAGCCGCACGGGAGAGATGTCACTTCCTCGGTCAGTCATAGACGTTTTTAAATCCCTTTTGGAAAGGCAATTCTTGTTCAACGCATATCACTGACCGTGGATGCTTAAAAATACTGGCAGGTTTTTTCCAAAGCCAGGTCTCCTCCCCTCCCCCGCCATTCGCAGAGGCAGTACTGATGGAAAGGATTGAAGCTCTGAGACGCTTCCCATAGTAGCATCTTAATCATTTCAGAAATCAATGTCTCTTTTAATGCTCGCCTTGGTTTCTCCGCAGTCAACTGCTAAGGTTGTCCTTCGCAGATCTGGAATTCCAGGCTCCTCTCTCTTCTTCGTGATGGTTTGATTTCATTTCCCCCCCCCCCCCCAAATAGTACAATTGAAAATGGCTGTTTCATAAAAAGGGGAGGAGAAAATGCAGAACAAAGGAGGAAAAAAGTGACACATCTCAGGAATCCCTTTGATTCCTAAACAAATCGGTGGATAGAATTGTCTGTGTGTGTTTTAAATGGATACAGTTCATCCCAGGTCCTACCTCTGCAGAGCTGGCATGTTATCCTGTAGCAATGCAGCACGAGGCTTTCCTGTAGGCACTGCTGCAGACTCCGGCAGGCCCGTGCCCTTACAATGCTGCTTCCGTCGGGACGCATTGGCTCCCCCTTGACGAATTGCTCTTGGGAAAATGTCCTTGGAAAATATGTCCGTGTAATGCGCAGAGCAGACATGGCCTCATTTTTTCCTTCATCAGGGCTCCCTTTTGTAGGCATCAACTCGTCCGCAAAACAAGCTGTGTCATGTGTGAATGACACTGGGTCGGAGAGTCATTCACCATTGTTGAGTTCGAGCCTGGGGCCGAGACTGAGGTGAATAAGCACCTTGTGGACATGCATTTTGGGGAACACACTGTAGCAAAGCAATGGAGCAGGGAGTGCGGTATGTTCGAGAGGGGCTGGAGCAAAGCTGTGTGCTGAAGGGAGGGTCACAGGGTGAGCCGGCTCATTGAGAGATTTGGGGGTTCAGCTGCCTCACTTTGCCAGGCTTGGCTCAGCTCAGCTCCCCAGGGGAAGGGAATGAGTCCTGGAGTCACGTGGTAGAAGCTGAGTGGCTCAGGCTGCCCTTTATCCCAGCGGCCTGGATCTGAGGGCAGGGAGATAAGGAGATAAAGAGGCTCTCCTTTGTGGTCAGGTAGCTGGGCTGGGGTGTGAGGAGATCGGTGCCTGCAGGAGACCCTGGGTCAGAGGCAAGGGCATGGTTGAGAGGTGGAATTTAGATTAAACTTTTATTTGGAAGAAATAAAACTCCAGCCCTGAAGTAAAGGGACTAAAATTGTGTGGCTACTGAGTGGGCTTGATGCACTGGCTGGTGAGTTGGCCTGCTGGCTAACCAAGGGGGAGAGGTGAAATGGAACCAGGCCCCCTTACTGATCTCCTTGACGTGACGAGTTGTCTGGGGGGTTAGAGCAGAGAAATGGGAAGTCAGGTCTCCTTGGTTCTGTTCCCAGCTCCAAAGAAGGAATATTGTCTGATGGTTAGAGCAAGGGAAGGCGGCCAGGAGTCAGGGAGGGCAAGTCATCTAACTCGTCTGTGCCTTGGTTTCCCATTCTGTAAGGTAGGCAATTTATTAAAGGCTTAGTGAAGGTTTGTAAAGTGCTGGATCAAGGGTGTTAGATGAAGGGAGAGCATTATTATAGAGTCCTTGGGGGGTGTCTGTGTGTGTGTAAAGACACATTCACCATAAAATACCAACCAAAGTACTAGAAGGAGAACAGCAGCAAGCAAGATCTTTTGTGTGCCTTGCCTGTGTATTTCCTAGCTGCTGAGAGCAGATGCAGCTTCTTTTCCAGCAGCAGTATTCTGCCATGATGGTCAGACCGTCTATTAAACAAACCGCCCACACGCTGCAGTGTTATGACTTGCAGAGGGACTTTTTTACAGATACTTTTCAAAGCTTGAAGCCTCAGCCTTTCTCTAGGCACTCCAGTGTCTGGAGGCAAATGTGCTTTTGAGTCAGGCATCTCGCCAGCAGGGGGTGCTCTTTCCTAACTCAGAGAGAGCAGGACACCGAACCCGTTCTTTTCTCCTCCCAGTGCTGCAGTGCATTGTACACAGGCCGTGCAGAGCGCAGCTGTCGGTGCGTCACTGACAGCACAATTACTAGAAATAAACTCCTCTGGGCTAGGCTGGGACACAATGTTTGCTTTAGTGGCCGCTCTTCTGTGGCAGGTCCCAAGCAGCCTGTAAGAGCACCATTGACTTTCTGTGGCTCCCTGTGTTTCCTCTATCATTTTGGGTCAGTAAGACCAGAAAATATTTTCTCTATTTCACATTCATACAGACTCCTTGTGCACGAACAAGATGACTCTGTGTGCAGGCCATGACAGTGGGGTCCGCCTCCTGTGCACAGACTGGTGATGGTGCTATATAATAATGGCTGGGACAGCGCTATATGCCCAGGGGATAAAGGAGGGACGGTTGTCTTAGCTGTTAAGGTTATTGCAAATGCAGCGGTGATGATTAAAACCGTGTGCTTGTGAAGGGGCCCTTCTCTGGAGCAGTTTATGCATCTAGGCCAGTGCCTCAGGAATGCACACCCATTAAGGAGTCCAGAAAGGGGGTTATGACTGTTGCCCATGCATCCCAAGTTTAACTGGCTGGCTACCCGTATAAAAGATTATTTTAATTATCTTTGATGAGCATCTTTTATGCAAAGAACTTTAGGGCTCTAGATGACCAATACCAGTGCAAAGTAGCCAGCGGGCATATGGTGTCCTGTGCAACCGGGGTGAGCAAAAGGAAATGGTGATCCAGAACATCAGTGCAAATCCCAACTCTTAAGAGTGGTGCCGTAAATGCTTTAGTGTTTGTGCAGACTAGACAGGGGCTTCCTTTAAAGTCTCGCTTGAAAAGAGCTTGTGTGGAGCTTCGT